GGGGGGCCGGCGTTGGGCCGTACCCGGCCCGCGGGTACCGGATTAGGACAGGGAGCTGCACAGAGGTGCTGCGGGGCTGCATGCGGCACTCCGGGAAGCGTACAAGTACGTTCTCTAGAAGACTTACCTGGCATTGCTGGGGGCTGTGCAGGCCTCCCATCCGTGTCTCCCTGGGGCCAGCCTTCAACAGCGGGATGCTGCACAGTTTCCCCCCCCCCCATCTGCAGCTGATTTGGGGGAGAGGACAGCATGCAGCATAGGGGGCAGCTGCTCCCTCCAGTCTGCCCAAGACCGTGGAGGCAGTGTCGCTGGCTGCAGCCTTTCCTCCTTGTAGCCCCTCTGTGCTCATTCGCAGGGGTGGCCCTAGACTAGCTGCCAGCAACTGGTGCCCTAGGGGAACCATGCAGTTGGCGTCCCGCCCTCCCCCAACCCCAAGGGCAGATATCGACTGAGGGTTTTGGTTCTATGCTGGGGAGAGGGGGGCTGGGGATGGAGTTCTGTTGGCTGGGGGCCGAGGGGCTGGGGATGGAATTCTGGGACCAGGGGCCGGGGATGGAGTTCTGGGGCTGGTGGCTGAGGGGCTGGGGATGGAGTTCGGGGGCTGGGAGAGAGTGGGGAGTGACGGGGGCCATGTGTCCACCAGCGACTGCTCCCCGGGGCAGTGGGGAGTGACGGGGGCCATGTGTCCACCAGCGACTGTTCCCGGGAGTAGTCAGGAGTGACGGGGGCCATGTGTCTGCCAGCGACTGCTCCCCAGGGGTAATTGGGAGTGACGGGGGCCGTGTGTCCACCAGCGACTGCTCCCTGGGGCAGTGGGGAGTGACGGGGGCCATGTGTCCACCAGCGACTGCTCCCCGGGGCAGTGGGGAGTGACGGGGGCCATGTGTCCACCAGCGACTGCTCCCCGGGGCAGTGGGGAGTGACGGGGGCCATGTGTCCACCAGCGACTGCTCCCCGGGGCAGTGGGGAGTGACGGGGGCCATGTGTCCACCAGCGACTGCTCCCCGGGGCAGTGGGGAGTGACGGGGGCCATG